CTTAAGTGACTCACATGGAAATTATCTTAAAAGAGTTTCTGCATATACTTTAAAAGATAGATGCCTGCAAGCTCAGCAGCTGTTATAACTTGAAGATTATACTTGTTTTAGCGTATACGTGTATATGTCAATATATATATATATATATATATATAAATTTTAAATTCAGAGATCATCCAGACATAATTTTGTGTTGGAAAATTCAAAAAGCTGACCAAAAAAAAAATATATATATACAGGAAGAAGAAGAAGAATATATGCATATTTAAATAACTATCAAGGGGAAAACAGCTCTTTGTTAATTCTTGCTTTCTCTGAATGGGTAGGGGTTGGAAATTCCCAAGTCGCTGTTAGATCTCGTTAAATTAAGTGATGGATGTTGTGTGCATCATCTCTTTGAATGCAGTGCTGTTAATTAAATGAGAAGATGACTTCCTCATTAAGAATGTAACTCTAAGCATTGTTTATGTGGTATTTTTCCATATTTGTAATTCTTGTATGAATGAGCAGATGGGAATATTTTGTGTGGAAAACTTCAGGAGCATTTAGGGAAGGAGTAAATTTTGAGGTTGTGTGCTCACTGGCTCTAACATAAGGTTTTAAATTCATGTTTCAGTGAAAATATAGTGTAAAATGTTTCTTCCTTGCTAATTCTGAATTCAGATTGAGCAAACATCCATGTCTGTATTGCTGTAATTTATTCCTATGACCTAAGGGAGATTTAAGTGTGTGCACTCCAGTGGTTTGGAACCGAAGAGGTGATTGCTTTCCTTCCTAGCCCACAGAACAGTGTTTTAGATCCGGAAAAAAAAGAGGAAAATAAGAAAGTGCAAGTAATTGAAGATGGGAGAAGGCGATCACTGTCCTTTGCACTGTCTGCATAGAAAGATTTTTTTAAGTTCTTCTACAATCCACATTCCCTCCTGGGAATTCTGTAGTGTTTTTGCAGAAGGAAGATGCACAGAGTAGCGTCTAACCTGAGCTACTTTAGGATTGGGAACACAGAAGTTTGCACTTGCACTGAACGGAGATTACTGTGTCTAGCAGTGGCTACAAGCAGCATCCAGGACTAATTAGCATAACCTGGCAACTGATTTACATAGCTGAACATAGCACTGATTAATAATTTCTGATAGGCTGTCAATATCTGTCAAGACAAAAATAAAAGGTTTGTGCCTTTAATAGGCTGTGGATACAGGTAAAGAAATGGTTTCTGTGCTTCAGCACGTAAATGTGGAAGATACTGTTAGGATTAATACAAGGAACTAGGGGAGCTTATTCCATTAGCTGTTATCTACAGACAGAACACCATTACTGTGATTAAGCATCTCAGTGTGAGCACACATTCTACCACTGAAATCTATACATCCCTCAGAGATTGCCTTGGAAGCCAAGAGTAAGACAGTGGAGCCATTCAAGACAGATAGAGAGGAAAGCTTTATGCAGCTAGGACTGTGTGATAATGCTAAGTTGTCTCATTATAATTCCTAGGCTGGAATTTATCCACAATAATGCTAATCTTGTGAAATGTGCTACTTTATTATTATTATTTATTTATTAATGGCATAAACAGACGCGATTTTAGATTTGCATCTTTTCCAGAAGGCTGAATTTTCATACCGTCCTAAGCTGGCTAATAAATTCTTGGTGGTTTTGGTATGCTAACATGCACCGTGTAAGAGAGTAAGCTGTTAAATACTGCTCAGACCCTGAGGCTGAAAGATAGATTTTTACTCAATCTAATGGAAAAAAATAAAAATGACCTGAAAAATTGTAGGTGGCAAACTTATCTCCTTTGTATTTCTTGGCTTTCTATAAAGAGACAAATGCAATAGACTTTATACTAAACAGATGTAACTAATTTGCCTGGTTGTTTTCCATATATGTAATAAATTATGTTGTAGGTGGGGATGTTTGCATACTTCTCAATTATTCACTATAGCATTTTGGATAATTTAGCTTTACATTACATTTCTAAACCCACTCTCAATCGGTTAACATTTCAACCACAAGCATTCGATGTGTTAAGAAAGAGGTGATTTTAGGAGGGAGGGAGAAGAAAGGAAACAGAACAGCTTGCATTCCTTTTGTTTTTGAAGAGTAATGGAAGATAATGTATTGTTCAGCAGGCATATCTCCAGCTATTTGGCTTAATAGAGTTTTGAATATCAAGCCCTAGTTATCCTGGGATCCAAAGTGACAGAAACTTTTGAAAGAACTGAAAATAACTGGATATACAGACTTGACTCAGGAAAACGTAATGCGTTGATGATGGCTTTTCCAATTGAACAGATAAAAATAATGATGATGGTAAGAGACCAAATGAGCCCTTGTTACTAAATGGAATGAGATTTCTCTTGCCCCCATTTGTTTTTGTCAGTGTTTCTGCATAATTTGAGATGCTAGAATGGAATGAAGGAAAGAGTTGTTCAGTCAACACTGAGTTAGATTTTTTTGTTTGTTTCTTTGTTTTCCACTGTACTGCTTTTGTTTCAACATTGTTTGAGAATACAGTTGTAAAATGAGTGCTAATGTTCCAATAGCTGCAGAGAGGTAGCTGAGTCTTTACATTCTCTGCTTGCCAGTATTTGTCCAAATATATGTCTGTGCTGTAGCATGGCAGTGAAGAGAATATGTGCAGCACAAACCTGAAGTTCTACTTGGAGAAGGTATTATAGAAATGGTGCCTGTGAGGTTCTATGCTGACAGCTTCTCAACAGCTTTCCCACAGGAATGTGCTCATGGTTAGGCTCTAGTGGCGTTCCCCAGGACTTCATGCCCGAAATGTGGAAGACTTCAAATGTATAGGAGGTCCTACCAAGTTGTTTGTGCTGGGATTGACAGGAGTTGGGATAGCATTTGTGTGCCTGCCAGACCCAGCCTCTTGAAAGAAGCGCTTTCTGGAATGCTTGAGAACGCCAGAAAGGGGAATTTTCTCCCAGAAGCTGAAGTCTATTGTGCTTGTCTTCTGTGAGAAATGGTCTTGTTCTGATCATAAAAGTGTCCTGGCACATAAATGTAACTTGTGAAAAATGGAAGGTTGAACTAGGGAAATAGCCCTGAAGTACTTCTACCCTCTTCATCTGAATGATGAACTGATACAAGGGAAAAGAAAAAAGAAAAGCAAGTGAGTATTTCGGAAAACACAATCAACTCACTAAGCGTTTATTTTCCAGATTTGACTTCTACTTTTCTGCTGCATTTCCACCATAAAAATCTAGGATTGGAGGATATTCTTGATTCTCCATTATGAAGTAGTGAGCTTTGCATTGTATTGCTTGTCCTGCTGCAGGGAACTAATGTACACGTAAAATGAATAGACTGTGCACGCTATCCTGATCCCCAAATCGTAGTCTCCTTTTAAAGTGACAGCAGACATCTTAATGAACAATTTTTGCTTTCTAATATTTCTAATCTTTTATGTGACTATGAATTACTGACTGGCAAAAACCAACCCATACATCTAAAGATAAAACAGATGAGATAGTAGAATCCCATGTTTCGACAGCTTTATGGCCTGCAGAATCAATGGGAGGAAAAGTAATCAACCTGTGCTTTTGTCAGTGAGGTAGGTGGATCTGACCCTGAGTACACTGCAGGAGCAGATGGACAGAAGAAGAAATCTGTGCTAATCTTTAGCATTGTTACATAGTCAGTTCTCTGAGAGCAAATTCACTTTTAAAAGTCTCTTACAGCTGAGTCTTGCAGAATAGAAATATCATCGTAGAGCAACTAGGGAGATCTTCCTGTGTGAGAATGAGTGGAGCTGAAGACGTTGAAAAGGTGATAGTGATAAAAAAACAAAACTAGCAGAAGATAAACATTTTTCATGGAGACATACCTGTGGGTCTTTTTTTTTTCTTTTTTTTTTTTTTTTTTTTTGAACAGTTCTGTGTTGTTTAAGAGCCTGTCCATAGCCATGGAAATGTTTGAATCTAAACGATGAACTACATGGAACATACTCATGTATTTTTAATTCATCCCTTCAAAAAATTGGTGATGTTAATATTTTGAGGATATGTGTTTTTGTATGTAATTTGTGAAAGTGAACACTTGAAACTTGTATGCATGTGTGTGTGGAGTCTGCCAAGTCTTAGTTATGTTTGTTGTGTTCATTCAATCATTCCATACTTTCTTTTCATAGATTCAGAATGTAACAAAAATTCACTTGAATTCAGCATGTTGAACCTATTTCATTTCTTATACTTTTGTCTGAGACCCTTTGTGTTCAGGACTCCACAAGATCCGATAGACTTAACATAGCTTTTGAATTTAGTAACTTTTTCTGCTTTTCATGATTTATTTTAAATAGTTCCATAGTGTTTGTATAAATAGGTGTTGTGGTGGCTGTTCACATGTATCACTGCATTTTTATGTAATTAGTACTTCCTGGCGTACAGTGGTACTCCAGTATTACTGAGGAGTCTACCAGCTGTGGAATCACAGAAACACCATGGTTGGAAAATACCTACAAGATCATTTGGTCCAACCATCCACCCATCAGCAATAGTTCTCACTAAACCATTTCTCAACACAAAATCCAGGTGTTCCTTGAACACCTCCAGGGTCGGTGACTCCACCGCCTCCCTGTGCAGCCCATTCCAGTGCCTGACCACTCTTTCAGAGGAGTGCTATTTCCTAACATCCAGCCTGAATCTCCCCTGGCGCAGCTTGAAGCCATTCCCTCTGGTCCTATCACCAGTTACGTGAGAGAAAAAGACTCAGTTGAGTGCCTTAGAAGCATAAATCTCCTTTTGGGAACTCCATTGCATAGTTACAGAAGTGAATGGCTGATAAGCCAGTCTCGTAGTGTTTACATTTGGATTTGAAGTTCTTTGAAGCAGGGCCTGTTTCCCTGTTACAGTTTTTCTGCTCAGCAAAAAGTCTGTGTTGCTGGACTCTGGCACAGCATGCTAACTTTTTGCACATCGTAAATCACAGGGACATGGATTATTTATGGAAAAATATTTATAGAGTGATCTTGTTATCTTTTTTTGCAGAATCATGTAAACCCAGCCATGGATTTCACACAGACTCCTCCAGGAATGCTAGCCCTTGACAATATGCTGTACTTCGCTAAACATCACCAGGATGCTTATATACGGGTAAGACTTCTCCTTAAGGTCTGTGCCAGTCCCTGTTCCTGCTGATTATGTCCTGTTTATGGCTCACTTTGAAGAGGAGGTTCAGAATGCCAATGCCATTAACAAGAACTAGCTCTAGGAAGGCAAACCACGTTATGCTAAGACATGTATCATGTCTGTAAAAGCTGAGCCAAATATTGTAGATAGCAAATACACTTTTTGCTTAAGCCTGCGAAGAGAAGGGAGATGTGCATTTTGTGAATGCATGGTGGATGTCCATAAGACCAGAAGTGAGTATTTGTGCAGAATTCCCTGCTGTGTCTACCAAAACTGTCAAGTTTTTCTGTAGAAAGGAGGACTTGACTAGCAAATACCTTAATAACTGGCTGACATGGCAGTATTCTGAGAGTTAAGATGCTCCTACTAAAACTGCTGCTGTAGGTGAGGTAGTGTTTGTAGAAAAATAGGTTAAAACCATGATTCATTTGTACGACCTGTTCTTCCCCTCTGCCCACTCTGCTTCAAGAGTAGTTAAAACAAGCTATAAGTTGCATCCTTACATGAAGAGGATACAGCAGAGTACCACTGGCAAAATAGAGCAACTTTTAGTGATCCGTGCTGAATTTGAATAATTGCCATGAACGAACCAAGTTAGCTCCTATGGGAGTAGAAGATAATTTAACCTCCCTCAAGAAGGTGTGCACACAGAGCTGCGTAACGAAGGTTGTTTATGGAGACAGTAGACAGATACATCAATTGTTTCTTTTGAACAGCAAGTGAGCTTTTAATATGAGCTTTTAATTCTGTAATATGCTCTACTCTGTAGTTTCTGCTCAAATTAGATGTCAAGGCTGTAATAGGTTTGCAAAGGGAGTACTAATATCCAGGCAGATTGATCCTTGGGCGTAATGGAAGACCACAAGATTGTATGTTTTGGTCTGTAAATATTTCTGCTTCAATCTCAACATAACAGTAACTGTTAGAAGACACTGTGGAAGCACACAGTAAAACAGTAGCTATCAAACTCCATCAACCCCTGAAATTAAGGTTATTTCCTGTACCAAGCAATAGCATTTTTTCAGGATAAACTATACTGAATTGAGGTTTTCTCTGAGTTATCCAAATAAAATATATTTGGATACATTTTCTCATTAAGACTTGAGTTTCTCTTTTTAAATTTGGTTAAGATCTGTATGGTGTTATTTCATAGACTTCTTTTGAAAATTATAAATGCAAAGAACGTGCCTAGTAGAAGCCAGTGCCCTAAACAAGAGACACATGTATTTTTAATAAATGTGAAAGAGTCTAAAGAGGACAGAGACCTTCTTGAAAAGGAGCTTTCATTGTTTTTTCAATTTTTTGCTTAGTTTGCATTTTCATATTGCAGATGTTGTTTTGAAAGGTCAATTCAGTGTAGCATGTAATCAGCCATTTTTTACAAAGGACTTCATTGCTGGCTCACCTTTGTTGATCTAATGCAGTATTTTTGCTCCTGCATTACTGATAATTTGTGAGGTTATTTTGTCTTTATTCTTGTATGATTTCTCTTACAAGACTGTCTGAGTGTGCCTCATGTTTTCTCTACTCATGACAGAGGAAGTATACACTAGAAATGCCATACCAACACACACTCAGATAAAATTGCTTGCCCAAAGTTGTGCTGGAAACTGCTAGCACACCCTGGGAGTATGTTAGCCTACCCGTCATTCCAGAGTCCCACTTCATGCTCACACCAGCATTTCTGGCATGATAGTTCCCTCACTATGATGGCCACTGTAGCATGCTAAGAGCATGCAGAACACATCTGAGGTGCAGGGTGATGCACAGCTCCTATGGTGCTGTGAGGCTTTGATTGCTAAAAACATCTTCTCATCTGCTTGACTTCCTCCCTGGTGAATGCTGATTCTCTGTGAGCTCAACTCTACCTGTTTCCTTGTTTTGAATTCCTTTTCACACCTAACATTATTTAATTTTTCTTCATGTCCTTTGCCTTCCAAAGCTCTCGTAGCGCCAGTTCTCTCTACTCGTACAGGCTGCTAATCTCACTTCATGTTTTTGAGATGCATTTATGTTCTTGTGTCTCAACAGAAATATTCTCTGCACTCAAGGTGAAATTTCCACAAAAAACTGTTAGTCATACAGACAAATAATACTTGCATTCTGAACAACTTCTTTGACAAAATCTCTTTTGCTCTTTTTCATTACTGATAGTAGGAAACGATTTGTTTCCCAGGAAGAGAGATTATTTCCAACATGGTCTTTTGCAATGCCATTAATTGCTGTACCATGGGACAATTCCTAAGCCCCAAAATAAGAAAATATCTGTGCTGTGGGATAATTAAAATTGAAATTGATTTTAAACCAGCATTGGTTTAAAATGGGAAATACTAGGTTTCTCCTGACCTAATACAGTCTATTAAATGAAGACAATATCAGAAAACTGTGATGACTTCACTGAGTCCATCACTGCTGCTGCATTTAATGGGCAGCACAAATCTCTGTAGTCTGACCTCCTAGTTTCTTAGGATGCCCCAAGCTGCAAGGCCCTTGGTAAGGTACCTTGTATTACTGAAAAAAGTGGATAAGGAAAAATGAGAAGGCAGGCAGAAATTAATTTCTTTCCTGTTGTAACTGATTTTGCTTATAAATAATTTGCTTAATAAATGGATTAGTTAGGTGAGAAGAGTGATTAAAGCTGAAGTTTCCTTCAGCGTGAAGAGGCAGTGGGGCTTCCAAGACCAATACCAAACAGAAGTACTCATAGCATCAGTAAATCTTTGCAGTGCGTTGCAGAGCAAGGGTACAAAGACAGTGGAGCAGATGGGGAACTGCATCTAGAAAGCAGAAAGCATTTCAGGGTGAAAACACGGATGTCACACACTGAAAAACAAAACAAAAATAAGCAATTGAAAAAAAGTTCATTCTTACCTCCTGACAATTCATTTATCTTATTTCTTTTTCCTTTCCTATGTGGTTATTCTTGACAATAGACTCATACGTTGCTTTGGGTTTATTGTTTTACTTAATGTTGCTTTTCAGATAAACCAGGTTGTTTTTATTTAGATTCTGAGTTAACTGCTTTTTAATTTCACTTTGTCTGATGTATAATATGGCCGATGCTTTCAGAAGAAAGGTTTTTATACTGGAAAGGAAAAAAGAAAAAAAAGACCAGCATGTTTTCTTTGATTATGTGATGTCTTTAGATGTCGTATGGATTTTTCCTTTTTAAATTCCTTGAATTCATCTCTTATTGAATTAGCTTTTCATTCTTTTTTTCTTTCTATTAAATGTTTGGTGCTATCAGTGACTTCAGTAAAGTGCATTTCATTTTTTTCATGTTCCATTTAAATAATCAATTGCTATCATCAAGGGGCTTTGCTTTTAGAACATGGTACATATGCTGTATGGAATGCATTGATGGAAGTAATGTTGAACCTCTGCAAGAAACTACAAAAGTTTCCACAGGAAAAAACTGGCAGCTTACCAAGCTATATAATTATAGGACAGTCAGAGTGTATAATTAAAGTTAACAGTGAAGAAAATGATTGGAATAAAGCTTTGTGACAGATCATTTTTTGTTCTTTTGGATCAGACACATCTTCTCCCCCCTCCCTGCCTGTTTCTAATTTGTTCTTTTCCAAAACTACTTCAGTTTCTTGTTCTACTAATTTTAAAAATAAAATTATAAGTTACCATTTAAAACAGACTGTATTCAATGTAGACACCTTGAGATTTTTCTTGCTGGCAACTTGTAGCAGTGTGCCTCTGGAACTTTTCTGAGTTGTAAAATGAGTCTGATGAAAAATCTTTGCATGGAAATCCTGTTACGCCATCGTTGCTATGAGTATCTCAACATATTGACATTCTGTTGTTCATTTGTTTGGGAACTCATGATGCAAAAGGCTTCAGATTCATTTTCTTTTTAAGATACAATGAGAGGTATAAATATCTGAAACAGAAATATTTTCTGTGCAGGTGTTTGTAAGAATGATTTGTCTGATATATTTTTTTTTTCTTTTAACAGAATCATAGAATGGCTTGTGTTTGAAGGGACCTTAAAAGTGTTCTAGTTCCAACCCCCTGCCTTGGTCACAGTTGCCACCATGAGATCAGGCTGCCCAGGGCCCCATCCAGCCTAGCTGTGAGCACCTCCAGGCATGGGGCATCCACAGTTTTTTGGGGCAGCCTGTGCCAGCACCTCACCAGCCTCTGAGTAAAGAATTTGCAACTAACATCAAGCCTAAATTTCCCCTTTTTTAAGCCATTTTCCTTTGTACTATCTCTATTTAAACCATGTAAAAAGTCAGTCTCCCTCCTGCTTATAAGCCTCCTGCAAGTACTGGAAGGCCACAATAGGTCTCCCCAGAGTCTTCTTCAAGTTGTACTGTTGTAAAAAATAATGAGATCTCCGTAGTTTGTTGTGGAGAGCAAGCTGAAGGAACCAAAATGAAAAAAACCTTGTATTTATAACCAAGACAAATTTGATAGTTGTTTGTTGTCTTGTGTTTAAGTCTGCCATATTTATGCCTAGGAGGTTTCCATAGATACAGTAAGCTTGCAGTTTTAATAAGCTGACTCCTTCAAGTGTGGTCAGTCTTTGTTTAGGTGTTCTTGATAGCAGGTAGCAAAAACAACACTACTTCTGTTGTGAATGGGGTGCTATTTATCTTGGATCTCAGCTAATTCAATGTTCAATGGCAGAAAGAGAAGATGCCGTAGGGTAACTCAATTCAGAGAAACTCCACCTTGCTTTTAAGGTACAACCATTGGAATGTTCTTTTAGTTTGTATTTTCCTCACAGGCATCTAAATATCATGATAATCTGTATCTTGGAGGGAATTTAGAATTCTGCCAGAGGTTATTGTGTTTCACAGAAAGTGGATCTCAGAGAAGTCATGTACAGCTTTGCCCCTGGTGTGCTCCACAAATCTCATTCTAAAGAATTTACTTTAGACAACTTACAAGTTGGTGACTTGTCTACATTTTTCCTCCAGTGCTTATGATGAGACATATTCTAACAG